AATTTTGGTAAAAAAAGGTTTTTCTCACAGAAATACTTCATTTTTGTCATGTCTTATAGTGTGCCGATTCAACTGCATATAGATATATATATAGTACTAAGTACAGTTACACGAAAGCTTAAAAACATCGACTGTGCTACGTTAAACATATTTTTTGCTTTTAGAGCATACTTTGTAAGATTTGAACTTAAACAAAGAGTTTTAGCAAGAATTTTAGGCCTCTGCCTTTGCCCGGCCTTTTTCTTTCAACAAAAGCAACATTTCCTTTATGTATACGCTTATATTCTGATACATGGAGTTGTCGGAAAGGTAGGCAAATACATGCACACATACATTTTATATATGGGCATATGTACATAGACAAGTATATCTCGTGCTGACAAATAATTTTTGGCAAATATTTGTCACATTTTGAAAGTATGTCAACGTCGTATTTGCCTTTCATTGTGCCATGGTAAATAACATTCTATAATAACGAGGTGTGAGTGCGAGTACTTTTACCTATTTAATTTTGAATTGAACAAATATTTGGAAACATCATTTCCCATTGTTTCCTGATATGCAAGTGCGTATAAACACACACAAACATATGCATTTGTATGTATGTGTATATTAAAACATATGTGCGTGCTTGTTTGTATGCATATGCTAAGAGCATTTCGCATTTCTCTTTAATTAGTTCTGAAAAGCTCTTAAGCTTTAACTGTTTCCAGTTAGAGCCGAGTTTCAATAAAGCACAAAAGCACACGCAGCTCAATAAGAAGAAGAAAACGTTTTTTTTTGCATATTTATGTGCCTGCATAACGGTAAAGTTGTCAAGCATACACATGCAACGCATGTGTATGTGTGCATGCACATACACATAGACATGTATGTACATATGTTCTGCTTATCCGCCTTCAAAAACACGCACAGACATTTACAGCTCCAGCAGAGCCGATAAAGATAAAGATTTACTGTCATACGAATGTGTCTGTCAGTGTGTTTCGTCATGTGTCTGTTTGCGTGTGTGTTCACTTATTTTGGTTAACAGCTCGCAAAGCTTTTCGCACAGCGCTTCGCATTTGCCTGAGAACATTACAATTGCAACTTTAAAGCGCTTTAAACGATGCTCAAACAAAACACACAAAAAAACTCAACGACGTCGCTGACAGCAGCCAAACGACGCCTCGTCCACCCCCTGCGCGCTGCCGTCGCCCGCTGGTGACGACACACATTTGAAAATAGCCAAAAAAAAAAAAAAAAAAACAACAACAACAAAAACTGTCTGTTGCACTGAGCTCTGCGTTAAGCTGCAATTGCAATGGCAGGCAAAGAGTGCGGCATTAAGAGCGCGCCATGCACGCCGCTTAAGAGAGCGAGTGAGCGATAATGCTTAAGAACAAAGAGAGCGCCGCAAAAGAGCAGCACTTTCTTTTCAATATGTTTTTGTTATTTCATTCGCAACGCGCACTCACCAGAATCAGTTGGATGCCTGTGCGTCTGTGTGTGTGTGTGTGTGTGCGAGTATGATTTGTATTATGGTGTGTGCTACTGCCGTGTTGGAAAAGTTCATTGACACTTGAAAAACATTTCACACACACACACACACACACACACACACATTCATACAGACGTCTCTTACTCATTCGCTCTGACGCTCATCAACTGTCACACATTTCTCCCAATGCAGCAGCAGCAGCAACAACAAAGCGACGTCAGCGGCTTGGCACATTTTTCTACTGCGACAGCGACGACGACGACGTCGTCTGTCTGCTGCTGCGTCGCTGCTGGCTGCGTCTGTGATTGTCTGCTTTCGGTTCAGCGCGCATCTTTCATCCTCGTGGGTAAATACGCAAAGCACTAGATTACACAATACGCTGTGCCAGGCAGCAGCAGCAGCAGCAGCAGCGACCGCGACAGCGACAGCGACAGCGGCAGTGCGGATTCGCTTATAAAGGCAAGTGCGTTGGGCGGGGGTGGGGGGGGTTGGCCGCGCGAGTGCTGCTTATAATGAACTCTGCTTGGCCCAGTCTGCAGCATCAAAGCGCTGCCTAGAACCAGTTCTCTTTGTGCACGTTCGTGTGTGTGTGTGTGTGTGTGTGTGCGTGTCTTTGGCTGCAGTTGATCAACGGTTTTTATGCGTCTGCTGCTCTCTTTGTTTGCCGCTAAAGAAATTACATCATCAGCGTTGAAAAGGATTGTTGCATGCTGCGAGGGAATCCCAACAGCTGTCGCTGTCTGTCGCACACACACACACACACACACACACATGCACTCAATTTACTTGAACTGCAGCAACTTGTGCCATTGTCTAGGCAAAACAAGTGGCTTCAGGTACTCTTAATACGCTTTACCAGGCCAGGCTACACAGAGCGAAAATACCGACTAATATTCTAATTGAAGCGGGAAAATATTCAAATATTAATTTGTCAAAAAATTATAATTTTTGGGTGTGTTTACAATAATAATAATGTGCGTTAAACTTAAACGAGAGCTTATGTTTATACACTATAACTAATTTCTAGTCGTTTTGAAAATTTAATTAATTTAAATGTTTAAGTTAATTTTTTTCCCATACAACTTAGAATATGTTTAAAGCAACATTGTCTCATTCATTCATTCAGTTAAATTTTGTCTTTTCAATAGGCTTTGTTGTTCAGAACAATTTCAGCATTTATTTTTCTCAGTGCCTGCATTCTTATTGCGTAATAACTACTTAGTTCTTCGGCGCGTTGGCATTGTTCAGCCACGACAATGGACAACCTACTAAACCCAACTAATATTCCTAATGGCGCATTGTGGCAAATTCCGCTTGCCACGAGAACTTCAATTTGCATGGCTCTCTATGGGCCAACGGGCCATATGGCTACAGTTAATAGGCTCTGAATTAGCCCCGACCGCAGTTGGCAGCAGCCGGAACAAAGTATTGCCCCAACTCCGAAGTGCAATTGAATAGCCTGTAAAATGGTTCAAAGCAATTTGCACCCCGTTTAACTTATCTAACAACTTATTTAGAGTTGAATGTGATTTATCTAAATGGATTTCTAATATAAATTGCACTGCGAAGCGGCAACTGTACCAGGTTTTAGAGAGAATTATATGAATATTCGGGCTGATGATTGTAAATTTCTTTTAATTAAAATAAAGTTTAAATTTGAAAGACTAGAATGTAGAAAGTTTAATTTACTTAAGCAATAAAATGTTCTTAAGATTGGGAAGTTTGGTATAATGCGAATTTAATAATAATTAAATAATTATTTCAATTTCGGAACGCATAGGAAAAGGGTTTATATAAGTTTATGCTGCAAACTTCTTCAATTTGTAAGGTTTGGACAGGTCATTTGACTAGAGAGTTAGCTCTAATTAAACTATAAAAATTAAGCTTGCAATAAGAATCGAAATATATATGGAATATATATGTAGTATTCCAAAGCATGCAGCCGAATAAACCTTCAAAATTCCATGTCCAATAATTGAGAGAAATCCCAGTTGCAAATCTAAAAATTTATAATAAATTTGTAATCTATAATTAAGCTAAAGCTAAGATTTTAAAGGTATCACGAAACGCCTAATTCAAGATTCCACAGAATTGAGTTGAGAAAAAAACTTGAATTTCCCCTATAAGAGTTTGTCTTCCCCTAAAAAATATATGCAATATTTCCAAGCATAAGAAACCTTCAAAAATCCTAGTAAAGCGAAACCGCGGTTGATCATATAAGAGTCTATAATAACGACACAAGCTAAGATTTCAAAGGTATCACCAAATGCCGAACTCAAGATTCCACAGAAGTGTGTTGGCATATTTGACCATTGCGGGATCCTTGTCGCAGCAGACACACGCGTCCATGCCGTACTCGTTGATGACGCCAAGTCGCACGATGCCGCCGGAGCTGCAGTCGTGCTGTATGGCCAGCTGGACGGCGTTCTTGACCAGCTCCACGGTATCCGCCTGCTGCATACCGGGTCTGTAGTGGGCGGTGACAAAGCCCTGGATGTAGGCCGCGCCGGAGCCGGCAACGGCGCAGGGTTCGTGCACCATGAGTCCAGTGATGGGCACACTGTACACCTGGCCGCCGTGGCGTCTGTCCCAGCCGGCGACAATGATGCTGGCCATCATCGTCTGGCGGGAGTCGTAGATCTTGTTCCGGAAATGGACGGCCGCATCGCGCACCAGCGCCGGCTCGCCCATGCTGCACTCATAGTAGTTCATCGCGTAGGCGACCGTGTTGGCCAGGGTCTGGGTCTGGGAGGCGGAGCCGCTCCTACAACAGTATATATGGTCCGTAATCCGTGTCAGCTTGTCGGCCGATCGATTCGAGACATATGTCCTGCAGCTAGTGCGCGAATCGGCGCCCATAACAACGCCGCCATCAAATTCGACGGCGATAATTGTGGTCTACGGGTTGAACTATTCTAGAGATCTATCAATGCAATACCCAGGCGTTAACTTACGCCGCCAAAATAGTCGCAATTGTCCATTGTTTCGGTTTTGTGGAATGCCTTAAACAACTAATTACAACACGTATAAAATTATAAACAAGACTAGGCTCAAATTAAATGTATTCATATGAGACCTAGATCGATTCAGTTTGGCATTAGGCTCAAAAAACTATGAGGTTGACTAAATTTTCATCTGTTATTATCATGATTGTGCATAAACACGCTATATACCAAACTTAAGCATTATAGCGCATATATTTCCCGAGTTATTATCGTGTTAACATAAAATGTAACAGACGTTTATTTAGAAAACCTTTCAAAAGGAAAGACTCGACTCCATAGGGCATGAATAATTTGGGAACCAATCAATATATTTATCTAACCGCATTTCTTAGATCAATTTGGAATAGAGATCTAAATAAAATGCCCATCAATATTGGAAACCCCACTAAATCAACAATCGATTCATTTTCAAACTAGTTCCAGGCCGCATTCGAACTAGTTTTTTTTCCCTCATTTTAGTTTAAAAGATAATATCTAATTGATAGTAAAAAAAAAAAAACTCTTTTTGCTTGCAGCTCAAATTGAAATAATTCCATGCAAAGTCTGTGGCGACAAATCATCGGGCGTGCATTACGGCGTTATCACCTGTGAGGGCTGCAAGGGCTTCTTCCGGCGATCGCAGAGCTCCGTGGTGAACTATCAGTGTCCGCGCAACAAGCAATGCGTTGTGGACCGCGTCAATCGGAATCGCTGTCAATACTGTAGACTGCAAAAGTGCCTAAAATTGGGAATGAGTCGTGATGGTATGATGCAGGCAAACCACAAGCCCGCAGTGCACAAACAAAAAACAGAAAAAAAAAAAACAACAATCTTTTAGATAGATTCTTAAGTAATTTCCTTTTACTCTTGTTTTGTAGCTGTAAAATTCGGCAGAATGTCCAAGAAACAGCGCGAGAAGGTCGAGGACGAGGTCCGCTTCCATCGCGCCCAGATGCGCGCCCAGAGCGACGCGGCACCGGATAGTTCCGTGTACGACACACAAACGCCCTCTAGCAGCGATCAGCTGCAGCACAACAACTACAACAGGTGCAGTATTGATGCTTACCCAGACATTGGTCAAATATTGAATACACTACTTGTATTTATGGGTCTTCTGCCCTTCTTTCACAGCTACAGCGGCGGCTACTCCAACAACGAGGTCGGCTACGGCAGTCCCTACGGCTACTCGGCTTCGGTGACGCCCCAGCAGACCATGCAATATGATATATCGGCCGATTATGTGGACAGCACCACCTACGAGCCGCGCAGTACAATGATCGATCCCGAATTTATAAGTCATGGTATCTCACGATCTCCTACAATAAACATCTTGGCAATCGGTTTAATCTATTTTCTATTTTGCAGCGGATGGCGATATCAACGATGTGCTGATCAAAACCCTGTCGGAGGCGCATGCAAATACAAATACCAAACTGGAATCTGTGCATGACATGTTCCGAAAGCCTCAGGTGTGTTAATGGGCAACTAAACGTTAGCATTTGCTGCGCCTTTACAAGCAGCTTAGTTAAACTATACCAAGTTTGGTCTGGAGAGAACAGTTCGCTTAGAAACAGACAGACGGACAACTCGGCTGTTGATGCTGATCTATATTCTAGTATATATATTGTTATGGGTTCGGAGATCTATCCTTCTATGCAATATACATTTCATGCCAAAATTATAATGACCTCTAGCTGTGCCAGCGATTGGTATCTAGTAGAAGTGAATAGGGAACCCAAGCAAAACCTACACAAGTATATTTTCTGTTATTATTATAATCGATGCATAAGTATATTTTGTACATTTTCATTAGAGGAGCAGGCAGGTCATTAGTTTTTAATATCCTTTACTTATATGTAAATTTAAGCATTCATATTAAATATTTGATACACTCTTCTCGATGCAGGATCTATCACGCATACTCTATTACAAAAATCTGGGCCAAGAGGAGCTCTGGCTGGACTGCGCCGAGAAGCTGACACAAATGATACAGAATATAATCGAATTTGCAAAGCTAATACCGGGCTTCATGCGCCTCAGTCAGGATGATCAGGTGAGCTCTAGAACCAAATATCTCATTGATATGCGATTATGACTGAATGGGCGGTGTTTCTTGCAGATATTATTGCTGAAGACGGGCTCATTCGAGCTGGCGATTGTTCGCATGTCCAGATTGCTAGATCTCTCACAGAACGCTGTGCTGTATGGCGATGTGATGCTGCCGCAGGAGGCATTCTACACATCCGACTCGGATGAGATGCGTCTGGTGTCGCGCATTTTCCAAACGGCTAAATCGATAGCCGAACTAAAACTGACTGAAACCGAACTGGCGCTATATCAGAGTCTAGTGCTGCTCTGGCCAGGTGAGTGTACCATACACATATATATATATAAATTCGATTCCCATCAACTGAAATGAACTCATTTTAGAACGCAATGGAGTGCGCGGCAATACGGAAATACAGAGGCTTTTCAATCTGAGCATGAATGCAATACGGCAGGAGCTGGAAACGAATCATGCGCCGCTCAAGGGCGATGTGACCGTGCTGGACACGCTCCTCAATAATATACCCAATTTCCGGTTAGCTAAAATCAGACTTTCCCTCTATGGATGACACCTCATCATGTAATCTTGTTGTTTTCGCAGCGATATTTCGATTTTGCACATGGAAGCGTTGAGCAAATTTAAGCAACAGCATCCGAATGTTGTATTCCCAGCGCTATACAAGGAGCTATTCTCAATAGATTCACAACAGGATCTGACATAACCAGAGCCGCTTTTTACGGATACGTCAACCGGTTCTGTCGCAGATGTTGCTGCCGGCTGTCCGCTCGAAATATTGGCAACGGCAACGGCAGCGGCAACGGCAACTGCAACATCACCTGTGCATCAGCTGCAGCTGGAGGACTGAAGCGGCAACAACAGCAACAAACACAATAACAGCAACAACAGCAACAACAACAACAGCAACAACAACAACAAGCAACAACAGAAAATAAAAAAACCAACTTTATCATCATTTAAGCTAGCATACAACCAAGGATGTGATCCTGGCCGAGGACTCACTTAAAATTACATAAAGCAAGCTACAAACAAAACAAAAAAAAAAAAAACAGAAAAAATATTTCAAAAATATTATATATACTTTTTTCTAGGCAAGAGCAAAAAAACAGAGTTAAAACCAGGCTAAATAAATGAGTAAAAAAGAAAAAAAGAGTAAATAAAATATGAAAAAATTCAAATAAAAGGTAACTCAGTTAATCTTTCGCTTCATAGACAAAATATACAAAAAGTTAAAGTCAAAATGCATTTTAGCAGAAGTTTTCAAGATAAAAGCAAAAGGATACATAAAAAAAAACAAAACTAAACAAAATAATGAAACACAACAGTTTTCAGTTAGATACGTTTTACAACACTGCTAAATAGCCACGCCCCTTAGCCAAGTACTTAAACAAAAAAGAGAAAAGAAGAAAACAAAAAAAGAAATCAAACTAGAAAAATGTTTTTCTTGTTTCTATACCAAAATTTGCGTATCTATATTTTAAACTGAGCTCAGCTTGATTTTATTGTATTTTACCTAGACCCCAGCGCGACCTACGACCCGCCCCCGACCCCTCCCCCGAAGAGGAAACACACCGCTAACCCTCTAGGTTGTCTCTGCCTTTTGTTGTAAACTAAACATGTGTATTATATATACAAAACATATATATATCTAAATATATATATATGTGTCTTAAATATTATCATTTTTTATATGATTCTACGTATACATAATGCAACATTTTTGTAAACAAAAAGAAAACAAAAACAAAAATCGAATATCTCGGAAAAATGTGTTCTTATATAATTATGATTAATGCAATTACAAATATTTACAATTATATTTACGTTAAACTTTAAACAAACACGAAAACTTACAGCACATACAACAACAACAACAACAACAACAGAATTATGAAAAAGAGAAATATTCTGTTTAAAAGTAAAAGAAAACAGCTTTTGAAATAAACTTTTCGTTTAATCATAAATCATATTTTTAGCATGGTAGCAAATCCCAAATTCCGGTTCCAAGGTTTAGTAGATTTAATTAAAAACAAAACATAAGCATTAACAGACTTTAATAGTTTAGCTAACACAAAAAAAAAACAACAACTTTTGATATACAATACAATACATATAAAGCGAAACGAAAAAAAAAAAAACAAAATAAAAATTGTAATAAATAATTATGTAAAAGGAAAGTAAGGAATGGAAAAATTATATGCGATGAGCCTAAGCGTAATATCAAGTTACAAGTTTATTGTTTTAAGCAAACAAAAATTTAAAAATAAATATATATATTAAAAAAAAAAAAAACAAAACAAAACAAAAATACGAAAAAAAATACCAAACAGACTGATGGACCGCACGCCACAACCCGGACAGCTTCCCGCGCCACTCCTCACACCTGAACCGCCCACAACACGCCCACAAAAAAGGAAAAAAGAAAACATTTAAAGACAAAGCAAATTGGTTTTAGATTAATTCATTTTATTTTAAATTCTTTTTCGTTCTATCTGGCAATTTAAACGACTGACTACACAAAGACGTTGCACACACATTCACACACACACACACACACGCACGCACACACACTTTACATTAGTTAAACTAGCATTAAAAAAGAACAACAAGAACAACCACACTTTGGATAGTAGGTGATAATTGGTGTGTCTTAATTGGCCTTCCCCCCGCTCCGCTCCGCACACCTCATGCTGCTTCCTACCAATCCGCAAGAATCAAAAACAAAAGCAACATATATACACTTATATATATACAACTTTTTTACTAAATTGCAATTAGCATATGAAATTTTTGGTAGACAGGCAAAAGAAAAGCGCATCCTTTTACCCCACAACAGGCAGGCAAATATTATTAAATAAACTAATTATATAAACTATAATTAAATGTATGCAACAGCAACAGCAATGAGAAATGCAAAAGCGACAATTAAACACACATATATATATATATATATAAAAAAAATAATAAATTACCAATCGCAATTCCACAATTAATTCACTTTCTTTACGGCTTTCGACTGTCATGCCCGGCGTCTAGAATAATTTGTTTGGCTGCTTTCGTTTTGTTTAAACAATTGAAATAAGTGAATTAACCAAATTACGTTTGACATTTTTGGCCTTAAAATGAATATAAAAATAAACAAAACACAACAAAAATTAAGTAAATACTTTATATATATACACCACATATATACATACATATATATGTATATAAATATATATATATATATAGCGAATAAAATTTAGTTATAATTTATACAAAGCAAGGGAGCAGCTTTCAAATGGCAAACTTTAGGCGATAGCCCGGCAAGAGAATATGAAATAAATAATTTAAATGAAACAAAAACATTGTTAAGAAAAAGAAAACTCAACTAAAGAAGAAGCAGCAGAAGAAGAACAACAACAAAAGTTAAAAATGTTGAGTTGAGCAAAAGAAAAAGAAAAAAACAAAAAGTATCTATATAAAATATATATACAAGAAATAAATATATATATTGTTAAATTTTTATGCTAAGTTTTTAGTGCAAAGAAAATAAAAATGGTTAAATTTTTAATAAACATAAAAAAAGAGAAGAAGAAAAACAAAAGAAAAAAAAAACACAACACGAGTAAATCTAAATTTAAATTTAGCATATAATGGCATATTATTATGTTACAATATTTACAATATAAACAAACGAGAAGCAGAAGAAGAAAAGAATAAAAAAAAAGTAACACAACAAAAAACTCCCCCTATAAACACGAGAAAATAAAATGAGTAAACCGAAAATATATACAAAAAAAAAAAAAAAAAAGAAAAGAAAGAAAAACAAAAGAACTCATATGAAAGCAGCTGAATTAATTCATTCATTATGATATATGATTAAGTGAAGTCGTAGTACGACTGTTGCACATTGCATATATACATGCCACACACACACACTCACACACATTCACACACACATAGGTCCAGCAACTGCAACTGACAGTTTTAAATGATGAGCAGGCAGCTGACTTTAGTTTAAATACAAAAACCTAAAGCAATACCTACTAAAGGCATCAGGGCGTAAGTACAGTGTGCACTGCCTATGACAGAACAACATGTACTGCATGCATTAAGCAAAGCAACTGTTTCTCGCTGAACAGGTTGAACAGGCCCAAGCCATTGTTTACTGTAGGCAGCGCACACTGTACTTGTTACATTTGACAGCGCATTTACTTTTGCTGTTCGCCAAGCAGTTGTCAACACTGTATTTTTCAACTTCAAATATATCCTTGCAATATTTCAACGCTCGCTCACACACACATACACACACAAACACGCAGCCTGTTTCCTGCACAACGCGGCGTATGCGCAACATTTCGTTTGTTTATTTCGTTGCTTCGTTTTCTTTTCTTTGCAGTCTATTTTGCTGTCTATTTCGGTTATATTTGTATTTCACCTGCATGTTATACATATTTCGTTTTGTTTTATGTTTTTTTAAATGCTTTTTTAGAAGCGTGCATAAATAAAATACACAGCTCGATAAAGCACTAAAAAAAATTAATATTTATTGCGCAGTTGTAAACAATTTTTGTTTTGTTATATAAGGAAAATGACTAACAGTTTGGCAGCGGCAGCAGCAGCAGCAGCAGTAAAAAATAGACGAGCGAGCACAACTCTTTTATACCCTTCTCCCACACTTTTTTAAGCAGGGTATGAAAAAAGCAAAACTCAAAATGAAACGCAGCAGATGAAAATGAAAAGAAGCAGAGCGAAAAGAAGAAAACTTAAAAGCATAAACAATAAAATTTATATATATATATATATATGCATATACATATATGTATATATACTTAACGTATAAATCGTTTTTTATATGCTTACATAATTTAGTTAAACTAGATGAATTCGTTTTTTATATATTTGTAAATTGTTTTTTAGGTAAATCGAATTATATAAACTGTGTCTCTATACATACATGCATATATACAAAATACACACACGCATATATCGTATATATATATATATATGTATATATATATATGCAGGCAGAAGAGCATACATATGTATATGCTGCATTATTATGATTATTACGATTATTATTATGATTAAAAACCAATCACAACAAAACAACAGAAACAGAAAAACCAATTCAAAGAAAGTTCAAGATAACTTTGAAGAATGATTAAACGCAAGCAACTAAAGAGAAAAATGGAAAACAAAACAAAAACAAAAACAAAAAAAAAACTAAATAATTCAATTCATTCTTAACAATAAAGTGTAATCTGAATTATACAAAGAAAAGAGAAACAAGGAAAAACAACAAGAAAAAACCAAGAAGAAGATGAGTGAAAAATCGTTTGCCGCCTCTTCTGTTTTTTTTTTTTACGTTTGTATTTGCTTTAATCCGTTTCAATTATGCAGTTTTTCCAGCTGTATGCGACTGAAGGGGCAAGCGGCTGTGGGCTGGAAAATGCTTTTATTGCGCATTTTCAATTATTAAATGGCTTGTGGCTGCCTATGAAAACGGCATTGTTTAATGTCCGCTCTTTAATATGCGCATTTACTGCCATATTTATGAATCGTCGCGATTGACCAATTGATTGACTTGCTGGCATTCGGGAAATGGATTGCCATGCGATATGCTTTGCGGCTATTTTCATTGCATTCTGAAAAGTCACAACACAACAACTCAATTTTCACAGCTTGTTGGGCAGCAGTCAATAATAACTCAAAAAGCTCAGCGTTTGCATTATTCGAATAATGGAGCAAACGAAATAAACTGCGTACAGCTTTGATGAGTTTTTTTTTTGTGCTGATATTTAAGGAAATAATCGCAGTAGGACAGTGCAATCCAACTTGTAAATTAGGTTTTACTATCGAAG